ATTTTTTTAACTGAGAGAGAAAATAAAAGTTAATTTTAGTCTTGTCTTGGACAATACCGTATCATTTCTAGTGTTGACATACAAAAATGGAAATGTTTGGCTTAGTTATCTTCATTTACTGTTCACAAATTTGAATGCTTTGAAAAACAAGAGTGATAATCTAATTACATTTCGAATGTGAGGTGAAACTTTCTATAATTACACTTTTTCAACATGTACGCAATTAGTGCATGGGTTAAACCTTAATTTCTCTCAATAAAAAGTTTTTAAAATACTTGGTCAAATCAAAAAGTGACACTTTAAAATTTAATGAAGTCTTAATCTTCACTTAACTGAATCCCCAGTGTTATGGGAAAAAAACATTAAAATAGTAGTATACAGATATGTTTTACCTGAAATGCAATAACTGTTTTTTTATTACTTGAAAACATCGTTGTAAAAATACTGGGTACTTTTAATATAGTTTTTTCGATAGTACAGGATTTCTGATTATCATTTCAAAAATGCTCTCAAAAAGTTGGCAAAATAAAACAAAACCCCAAACCAGACACTGCTTCCACTTGCCGCTGTAATCTTCAGTTCTTAGGACCTTGGATTTTTGTGGTTGGTTGACTAATTAATTATTTCTAATTCTTGAATTGGTTGGGTAATTTAGTGAAATGGACATCTAAAGCAGGTCTAATCGTGAGAAGGTTTTGCGGACAGATTGAAAGTAAAGCAATGGAAGTATATGGCATGAACAACGCAACCTTTTGGAGATGTCTTAACCTTGCGCAGATCAGAATGGCTACTGAAAAATAAACTGATTTCTCTGTAAACGTTGCCCACTGAAGATAGCCAGTTATCTAACCAGACGATGTGGATCTTAATAATTTAACCCTCTATAGAGGATAGGTCAACCGGAGAAACAAAATGATATTTTCGGGTTAATATGTCTTTTCAAACATGAAATGGCAAGTGTGCATGTGATATGTTCGTTAAAATAATTTTACAATTGATAACAGTCATACACAGTAATATGTAGCAATTGATTACTTCAGAAAAAAACTCAAATATTAAAAAGATTTGTGGAGATATTCCATTAAGTTGAAATTAAGTGTATATATATAAGATCATTTTCCAGTTAATTTTTAGGGTGGAACCAGCAAAAGCCAATGAATAAAAATTAATGATTCAAAATATCAGAGGCGATTCTTTGAAACCACTTACCCCCCTCCCAACGTTCTTCTCCCAAAGGTTTTTGCGGAGAACTTATAATCAGTATGGGTCAAAAATACCTTAAACGTAAAAATGTATGTGGAAAATGAAAAAGAAAATTGGAGCAAGTTTTCAGTAGAGGGCGCTAGTAATCAATAATGACAAACTCAAGCGTTCTTTAGAGGGCGCTATACTAGTAATTTCAATCTATACGAAACTGCAGAGGGCGCCATTTCGTTTATGGAGAGTTTTTCAAAGTATGTCTTCTTGTCAACTTTGACTTTTAGCTTGGTTGGGGTCGAAAACGTGATAAAAAGAGTCCAACTTCAAAGATTACAGTTTTTCGGTCGGATAGCCGTTATTTCTAAAAGAGATCTGAAGCTGACCAAAGTGTCGCAAACCTTTGTTTTCTGACTTTCGGCTATTCTTCGAAATGTACCAATCTAATTATTGTCACTAAAATAAAATCTAGGTAGAGGGCGCTATTATTCAGGGCCATAGGGCAAGATCAGTTATCAGTCAATAGAGGGCGGCATTGCTTTTGTCAAAAGAGGGCGCTATTTATTGATCTTGTATTATATCTCGATAGAGGGCGCTGTTATTTTTTTTAATAGAGGGCGTTATATATTTGGTAAGAATGCACGGATGGCGCGTTTGATAAGTATACATTGTAGAACGTGAGCTGATGATTTTCAGTTTTCCATTAAATGAAATGAGTTTTAAGTCAGCTGTCAGCTGTTACGATAAAAAGGACGGTAAATATCCTGTGTCCATAAAAATATAGTACGACGCCGTGTTTAAGAAGCTTCTTTTCTGTGGTATTGTTAATGTTACTAGGCCTAGTTGTTACTGGTTGCTTGTGTCTGAAGAACTAGGCCCAACGTAGCCCCACTAGTGTGGCACGGACTCTCACTCCCGATTTATCCTTAGCCACACATCCGTATGCGCAATTTCTTGTCGGCGAAATGAACATTTTTGGCGCACCAACTTATAATCGTAAGTGCAATTTCTTTTGCACACTAACATGATTCTTGACCTTTCTGTTTTATTGAATGAATTCACTCACGTTATTCAGGTATTTTGCAGTCTTTTTTCCTTCATCCATTCAATCTAATGGGCCCACTCTCACAGTCGCCCTCTTTAAAATAAGGTCGTTGAGCATTACGTCACCTGACCCCTCATCGTCTCAAACGCTGTTCCATGTCAAGACGTATGTAATAAACGGACTGAGCGATAAGATACTACATGTACCAATGGACTCTTCCAAAACTTTCGCAGCAGTTTAGATGTCTCGACATGGAACAGCCGTTGAGACGATGAGGGGTCAAGTGACGTAATGCTCAACGACCTTATTTTAAAGATGGCGACTGTGAGAGTGGGCCCATTAGATTGAATGGATGAAGGAAAAAAGACTGCAAAATACCTCAATAACTTGAGTGAAATCATTCAATAAATGGTATTTAGAAAACGGAAAGGTCAAGAATCATGTTAGTGTGCAAAAGAAATTGCGCCCACGATTATAAGTTGGTGCGCCAAAAATGTTCATTTCGCCGACACGAAATTACGCGTACGGATGTGTGGCTAAGGATAAATCGGGAGTGAGAGTCCGTGCCACACTAGTGGGGCTAGGCCCAACGCTACACTGTATTTACACGATATGCAACCATACTCAGTAACGTATGAAACCAAACCACAGTGGTTGTGTTTGTATTGCACATGTCCAATGTGTATTAGACTCATGTTGCAGCTGTTCATAGGTATATCAACAGTAAAAACAATGCCAACTTGTGTGAATTGCAGTAGGCAAGTGGTTAGCATAATGGTTTTTGATGCATGGACTGTGGGTTCGAATCCTGGGTTGAAATCGTGGACAGGGAGGTTTTTTTTTAGGAAAATAAAGCCCGAATGTTATAGGAGCCTAATTTCACATGTGAGGTTTTTATGGTTGGTTGAGCATCGGAGATGTCATGCATTGTGCATGGTTGTGAATCGTGGTTTGGCTTCATACGTATTGTTGCATATATACATGTAGCTCGTATTTACTGTCATGAGGGCGGTAAGTCCTTTGCGATTTTACTTGTATGCATGGCTCAAAATTAGAACGTAGACATAGTAGTTTTTGGTACGGCTTCTCTCATGGGAGAGAAGCGGTCGTCATACCCCACAGTTCTGGGGGACATAGACCTAGCTATAGAGGAAAAAAAATGGACTGCCAACTTCAGCCGCCGCACTCGATCTCATGTCAAATTTGTCAGTACTATAAGGCCATAGAGAATAAAAACACACATGTATTCCTCCATGGTAGGCCTAGGCCTTATAATAATGCTGATACAGCAGGAGCAATTTTGTGCAATGGTGAAAAGCATCATGGGAAAGAGAAGGACCAAACATTGCCCCCTTTGCCTTCCTAGAATACCTAAGTAGTACCTTTCTACCATTGTGCAAAATCACTCATGCCGTATCAGCAATAAGGCTTATGAACTGGAAGTGCCGAAGTTACTGGCAGGGTTATTCCACACGAACTCAACCGGAGGTTCCATGGTAACTGACTCAGATTTTTTTTTAAGAATGCAGCTATCTGATATGACCACATGCAAAATTGTTGGCTTCAACTCCAAAGTGTTCCTGAGATAAACCTCCCCAAAATTGGAGCCATGCTCACTATTTTACTCTTGCAAATCACAGAAATTAATTTGCAAGGAATTTTTGAGGCCAGTTTCTCAAAAATGAATAAAAGTTACAGGCTGCGTGTTGGTACCTAGGGTGATTTGAACCAAGGCATTTGGAATTTGCCATCAAAAGAGATTTCTTGCATAGTCCGAGTTGGACTCTACAAATCGCCTTTTTTAATATTTGGACATAGTGGGGTGATAGTAGGGTCCAAGTACCTCCCATAGGCTTTCCATCCTATTACAGTCGAACCTTGTTAATAAGAGGCCCATTGGACTTGGCAAATTACCTTGTTATAACAGGAACCTTGTATTATCAGGAATGAAAACAATGATAAACAAAGGATTGGGACCTATGATTATCCTTGTTATAAGCAGCCTCTTGTTTTAACAGTGCTCTTATTAACG